AACTCCAGCTGCTGCAGTGTTTGGAAGAGTCAAACAACACAAATATACACTGCAAAAACCTTTTATAAGTTAATTGTGTTCTCTTTGTTCCATCTTATAAAGTGCATTGTGTGTTATTTATAATATTCTAAAACAGGTATATATATTCATTACATGCAATATCAACAATAATAATCAGTTTATACAATTCTAATAACTACCAGTCAATTTACTGTGTAAAACTGATGTGTAAAAAGGATGTAAATTGACTGGTAGTTACTAGAACTGTATAAACTGATTATTATTGTTGATATTGCATGTAATGAATATATATGCTTTAGAATATTATAAGTAACACACAATGCACTTTATAAGATGGAACAAATAGAACACATTAACTTATAAAAGGTTTTTGCAGTGTATATTTGTGTTGTTTGACCCTCCAGGTGGGGCCTGGAGACCTCCCGCAATTACAACTGAACTCCAGAGCAATGTTCTCTCTAAGCTGTGGGGTCTTGTGAGCAAGAATTCTACTTTGTGAGCTACTGGCATGAAAGTTGTGAGCGAGCGATTTGGCTACTGCAAAAATCAGTTTGCTCTGGAGCCATCCTTTCCTGAGCTAAGACAAAAATGTGTGAGCCAGAGGCTAAAAAACTGTGAGCTAGCTCACACTAACTCAGTTTAGAGGGAACACTGCTCCAGAGTAAAGGGATCAGTTCCCCCGGAAAAAATGGCTGCTTTGGAGGGTGGATTCTATGTCATTCTATCCCTCTGAGGTCCTTCTGCTTCCTAAACCCTGTAATCTCCAGGCTGTACTCCCAAATCTCCAGGAATTTCCCAACCTGGAGTTGGCAACCCTAAGTTGACTCCAAGGGACTGCAGCTAGGAGGCAAATTTCTTTGTTTTTTTTAACTGACAAGAATTGTCACCTTTCCCTTTCTGCTATGATGTGGAATATGATTTGCGAGACTGCCTCTCCCCGAGCACTGAAGGGCTTTACAATCTGCTAATCAGCATCTTCTGGTGGTCCCAGGCCCCAGAGAGGTCCGTCTGTCTTGCCTCGACTAGGGCCGGGGCTTTTCCAGCCCTGCCCTCTATCTGGTGGAAGGAGCTCCCATACGAGATCAGGGCCCTGTGGGACCTTTTCCAGTTCCCCAGGGCCTGCAAGACGGAGCTCTTCCGCCAGGCTTTTAGTTGAGGTGGCAGACGTCCCCGTCCCCCCCCATTGGGCCTCCCCTTCAGCAGGTCAGATCTGTGTTACCATCTGGGAACCCCAGTCTGAAACAGACCTCATCTGCTGAGGCTACAATTAGAAACATAGGGATATTATTGTATTTTATCTGATGTATTTTAATTGCTTGTAATTGTATATAGTATTTGATGGAACCAGCCCTGGGCCTGCTATGCAGGGAAGGCGGGATACAAATCTAATAAAGTATGTATGCAAAATAGGGTTGCCAGTTCTGGGTTGGCTGTCAAGTTGCAGCCGATTTCAGCCAGGCCCCCTGGGGTTTTCAAGGCAAGAGACTAACGGAGGTGGGTTTGCCATCGCCTGCCTCTGCGAGGTGACCCTGGACTTCTGTAGTGCTCTCCCATCCAAGTATTTTAAAAAACATTTATTTGATTTGATTTTTCTCCTCCCCTCCCTCGCAAGCATACTGATGACAGCCCAGCCCGAGAGAGGGCATGTCAATGTTGAATAAGTACAACCCCGGGGGGGGGGGGGGGGAGGCAACCCCACTTAGCTTCTGAGATCGGATGTGACCAGGCTAGCCACGAAATAGCATCAGGTTAAACGTCTCCCAGCATGGAGACAGTGATGGGGTGAGCTTGACCTGTTGATGGTCCACTGCTACAGCTGATCAACGCACAGGAGCAGAGAGGTTTTTAAAAAGTGAGCTCACAGGGCAGAGGAGAGCCCCCGCCCCCAATTTGCTCAGCCCACTTACACCCATGCTAAGATCACCAGCTTTTTGTTCCAGCATGGCTCTTGGTGTTTTTAAACCACTGCGTGAACAGGCAAAAGCACTCCACACTGGGCCAATCAGGAAAGAAAGTTGCAGAACACCCATTTTCACCTGTCACGGAGCTCTTTTGCTTCTTTGTTAGCCGTGGACAGAAGAGAAGGATTGGGAGACCATCCACCGTTTTCTCAGGGTGCTGTCTGACTCGGAACATGAGGGAGACCTCCAGCTTTCCAAAATGGCCAGGCTCCTCTGCCTTTGGTGTAGTGGGTAAGTGCGCGGACTCTAATCTGGGAGAACCGGGTTTGATTCCCCACTCTTCCACTTGCACCTAGCTGGATGACCTTGGGCAAGCCGTAGCTCTGACAAGAGCTGTTCTCGAAAAAAAGCAGTTTCCATCAGAGCTCTCTCAGCCCCACCTCCCTCACAGGGTGTCTGTTGTGGGAAGGGGAAGGGAAAAGGAGTTTGTAAGCCGCTCTGAGACACCTTTGGGTAGTGAAGGGCGGGGTATAAATCCAAACTCTTCTTCTTCTCTTCTTTAAAATTTCATCTCCAGAAGCAGTGATGCACAGTGGCTGAAAACAGAGGAACCCTGCCAGCGGATATAAGGGGCCAGGCCCTTCCTCTCATTAAAGGATCTGAAGTAAAGAGGACCTCCCCCCACCCCGGAGAAAATGTTTGGGCCGCTAACAGTATCTTCTCTCCTGGGACAGAAAAAACATTAGATCTGCTTGTCCGGAGGTGGAGAGGAGTCTGCAATATAAGCCCTGCTCTTAGGAAATCCCTCTCTTGCCTCATCAATGTCAGAGGCGAGGAGTCCAGATCCCTGTGGGAGGAAGACTGAAACCGTCAAGTCGAGGCCTCACAAGAGGATGACCCACAGTCATCAAGGGGGAAGTGACACGGGCTGGGGGATGGGGGGGGATGTGGGGATGGGAGACAGCCCAAAGTGGAAGTCACGGAACTGTGCCATGGAGACAATCCTAGAAAGCACGCGAGCAGACGAAGGCCCAGAGATCTTCCCCAACACCACTTGAGAGCCAGTTTGGTGCAGTGGTTAAGTGCGCGGACTCTAATCTGGGAGAACCGGGTTTGATTCCCCCACTCCTCCACTTGCACCTGGCTGGATGACCTTGGGCAAGCCGTAGTTCTGATAAGAGCTGTCCTTGAAAAAGAGCAGTTTCTGTCTGAGCTCTCTCAGCCCCACCTCCCTCACAGGGTGTCTGTTGTGGGGAGGGGAAGGGAAAGGAGTTTGTAAGCCGCTCTGAGAGTCCTTTGGGTAATGAAGGGCGGGGTATAAATCCAATCTCTTCTTCAAGGGCCAAACAGAGCTGAGGAGGGGGGTGTCCCTCACACCAGGATGTGGGTGATACTGGAAGCCACGAGGTTGTCAGAAGCCACCCTGGACCAGTGTGCAGAGAAATAACAGAAATTTCAGGGGGATCCCAATCCCACGGGAAGCACTTCCCTCTGTGGAAACAGTGGGCGATCCTGCATCTCACATTCGCTCCACATTTTCTCAACACTGAGGAAAAGGTGCAGCTCAAGACTACATTCAGATACCCCGGGGGGGCAACGCCATACTGACTGCAAAGTCACCCCTGAACGGCCATAAATCTATGCAGAAAGTACCATGAGGAATGCATTAGAACGCTTGGGGGTCTGACAGAGGCATTGTTGATAAGGGCAATTTTAAGGAAGTAGAGATGGCAGAAACTGATGCTGTAGATGTTAAGAAGGGAGTTGGAGAACAGAAACTGGATACAGCCTTTGGTCTGAGCCAGCAAGATGGCAGTTCCTGGGCATTTACTAATACCACACCCTAAAACGGGATTGGCTTCGTCTGCCGCAGCGTCACACCTCCTGCTTACTTCAGCACCCCTTAGAACTCCTTTCCTAGCAGTCTCTGCTGCTTTGCCAAGCCACTCCTCCAAACCATCCCACAGGAGGCTTTTCTTTCCTCTGACTTAACACTTTCAATTCCCCACATTCTGTCCGGTCCCCAAGGGCTGCCCCTTCATCACCCAGGCACAGCGTCAGGGGGTTTTAAACGCACAGCTCCTGCACTTGCAAATTGGCTTCTGCATGTCGGTGCGCCAGGGAACGGCAGCCTGCCCAAGGGAAGCTCAGAGGGCACAGCCCAAGGAAAACCAAACACTGGCTGCTCAGCTGAGGGGGTTCAAGGCAGTGGGCACCCCCTGCTGATGCCACACAAAATGCACAATCTGGTCCCAATCCCAAATCTTCACATGCAACACTGCTTTTTTTTTTTTAAAAAAGGCAAATGTTTTGTGTGTTGCCGCAGAAAGTCCACAGTCGTCACGAGGGTGGAAGCCACGTCTTGTACAGCACAAGTGAAAGAGGCCTGGGGTTGCCAACCCCCAGGTGACCCCCTGCTGATGCCACACAAAATGCACAATCTGGTCCCAATCCCAAATCTTCAGATGCAACACTGCTTTAAACAAACAAACAAAAAAAGGCAAATGTTTTGTGTGTTGCAACTGCAGAAAGTCCACAGTCGTCATGAGGGTGGAAGCCACGTCTCGTAAAGCACAAGTGAAAGAGGCCTGGGGTTGCCAACCCCCAGGTGATGCCTGGAGACCAGTGTTCCCTCTAAGCTGAGTTAGTGTGAGCTAGCTCACGGTTTTTTTTAGCCTCCGGCTCACAGATTTTTGTCTTCGCTCAGGAAGGGATGGCTCCAGAACAAACTAATCTATGCAGGAGCCAAACGGCTCGCTCACAACTTTAATGCCAGTAGCTCACCAAGGAGAACTTTTTGCTCACCAGACTCCACGATTTTTGCTCACAAGAGGGAGCATCGCTGGAGACCTCCTGGGGTTACAACTGATCTCCAGGCGGCAGAGTTCCGTTCCCCTGGAGGAAAAGGGCTGCTCTGGACGGTGGGCTGTACGACACAGCCGTACACCCCACTGAAGTCCCGTCCCTCCCCTCCCCAAACCCTGCCTTTCTCAGGCTCCAACCTAAATCCCCAGGTATTTCCCACAACCTGGATCTGGCGACCCTAGCAAGAGCGCCCCCCCCAGCCCCGCCGCCTACCCGGAGAGCAACGGAAACCACGAGGCCTTTGCCCGGCTGGAGCGTCTGCAGAGGCGAGATCGCCGCGTCGCGGGGGCGGAAGGCGAAGGGAAGCTTCGACGAGGAGGAGAAAGGGGGTCAGGGGCGGGGAGCTCGTTGTCTGCCTGCGGCTCCTTTACGCAGCGCTCGGAGGGTCCCGGCACGGCACGGCGCGGCTCTCCCGGCAGCCCCCCTTCCCGACCTGAGCGCGGCTGCCTCCTCCGGCCAAGGCCCCCAACCGGCCCTCTCTCCCCGGGTGCAAAGGACGCGCGGCAACGGCGTCGTCGGAGGGAAGTGACTTGCCTGCCTGCCTGCCGCCCTCTGGCCTCGGCACAGACGAGCGCGCCCTTTCCCCTCCCTTCCCCTCCTCCCGGGGCAGGAATTTGGATGCGCGCCCGGGCCGCAGAGCCGCGCTCCTTAAAGCGCCAGGCCGCCGCTCCGGGGAGGCCTCGCCCGGCCGGCCGTCTCCGCCTCACAGCCCACCGCTGCCCGGGGCCCCTTGGCAGCAACCCAAGCCGCCGTGGCTGGACCCGCTCCAGCCCGGCCGGCAGCTCGGGAAGGGCGCAGGAGCCAAAGCTTCCCCCCCCACACACACACACTCTGGGCACTCGGGGCTAGACTGCCTCTGCCCAGGGAGGCTCCGTTCAGCCAGCAGGACTGAAGAGCCGGGTGGGCCTTTCTTCGGCTAAGAGCCGGGGATGCCAGCCTCCAGGTTGGACCTGGGGATCCCCCCGGAATTACAGCTTATTTCCAGACCACAGAGATCAGTTCCCCCTGGCGAACATGGGATGCTTTGGAGGACGGACTCTATGGCACTGGGCCCCACTGAGGTCCCTGCCCTCCCCAGGCTCCATCCCCAGATCTCCAGGAGTTTCCCAGCCTGGATCTGGCAACCCTGTGCCCCCATCCCCCACCAGTGACCAGGGAAGACCTGGCAACCCTAAGAGCAGGTCACCTTGACATGCACAGGTAGATTCTGAGGCCCAAACTATACACCATATGAAGACAGATGGAGATGGGCAGCCCTGTTAGTCTGTCTGCAGCAGGAGAAAAGAGCCAGAGTCCAGCGGCACCTGAAAGACTCACAGAATTTGTGGCAGGGGAGGAGCTTCTGTGAGTCAGGGCTCACCGTTTCAGGTACCCCATAGCAATGGACCTGGCGGTGGGTTGGCTGGTATCTGAAGGCGTGAGCCGTGACTCAGGAAAGCTCCTCCCCTGCCGCAGATGTTGATAGTCTTTAGGGTGCTCCTGGACTCGTGCCCTTGCACTGGACACAAATGTCATCCTCACATCTATTTTAACGTTTGTATGTGTCTGCTAATCTTGCCTTGATCAGACCTCAGCTATAATCACCCAGTCCTTCTGCACCTTGACTCTAACTGGTCCTTCCTGACAACCAAGCCCTCCCCCACCCCCCGTATATGTAATGGTTGAAGAGATTCTGTTGCCTGTATCTGACGAAGAGTGCCTGCACATGAAAGCTTATGCCTTGAATTAGACTTTGTTGGTCTTACAGGTGCCCCACTGGACTCACACTTTGTTCTTTTTTACCATGTGGAGCTCCCAGCCTCCCCTCCTTTAAAGAGTTGCAGTAAGGGTTCACCCTTTGGATCAGGACCATGGCCCGGAGGAAGGTCTTGTCCCCCCCCCCCTTATATGCAATTCTTCCCTCCCCTGCCACAACCTGCTTCTGTGCGTGTGCACACTATTGGAGGGAGCAGTGGATTACACCCACACCACATCTTAACGACGGGCATGTTTCAAGGCCTTTCTCTAAGGAGTGAGGCACAAACTTGTGTTTCCACACAGCACACCCACCTGCCTTTCCTACCGAGTCGTCCATCCAGTTTACAACGGCCCCAAAACAAAGCTTCTCCATCACTTCACCAGGCGTCCTGTTCCTTATCGTCTTACACTGCGTTGCTTGGCTTAGAAGCAGTGCCCTGCAGTAACCAACCCACAATCAGGCCCATAGCTATGGGGCTCCCTTCCTCCCTCCCCGCACCTGGCTCCACCACCCTTGCAATAGGTTCAAGCAACAAATGTTTTGCAATTGCTACACCTCCTCTGCATTCAACTGCATCCCCCCCCCCCCAATTTCTGGCTCTGGGCTTACCTGACCTGCCCACAACTGCCTGCTTTGACCTCCGAGGAGCTCTTTTCTCCACCTGCCAGACGGAGCTGTTGGCATAAATAGATTTAGCGCAGTTATTTTAACAGGACGGAGCCACAAGATTGTTGACTGGCCAGTTCAACCACACGGTTCCCTCCCTGCTGGTTTCTACAAACAGCTTAGGACAGGGACCGGTTCGACTGGATCCCCCGGCAAATCGGCCCATAGATGTCTTCCGACCATTGCCGCTGCGGAGTGAAGTTTAAGAAGGGATTTCAAAACACCTTTCGAATCCCTGCATCTCCTTGTTTGCGGCGGCCCACGTTCAATGCCCAGTGCCTGTCCTGGCCTTCTTTGGTTACAGTCGGATCAGGTTGCCGGCTCTGCTCTGATTCCCACACAAAGGACGCGAAATCTGCGCTAAATACACAGGACATCCGAGTGGCATTATTCCAGCCTTTGGCAGAACAAGGTCCACTTTTTTGCAGAATGAAAACCAGAAGTATTATAGGTGAGTAGCTGTGTTGGTCTGAAGCAATAGAACAAAGTTTGAGTCCAGTGGCACCTTTAAGAGCAATTATTTAAGGCTTTTAATTACTTAAGTCTTTTAAGACCAGCTATCTTCAGTATCTGAAGAAGTGTGCATGCATACGAAAGCTTGTACCCAGAATTAAACTTTGGCTGCGGTCACATGGAGCATTAGGCACGCTAGAGGGACGGAAGATAGGCGGATTTTCCGGGCGCGATCTCACCGCCACATCTGGGAAGCGTAGAGCTCCCGTGGCAAACCCGAGGCTTCCCGCCGAAGATGCGCGGTTAAAAACTAGTACCTCGGAGGTACTAGTTTCCGGTAACCGCGGGGCAAGGGCGGGTGTCTGATCGCATTTCCGGTGGTAGTTCCGGCGCCCGCCCATGCCCCCTCGTATAAAGGGTTTTTTTTCCCCAACTGTCCATGGGATGTGCACAAACACCCAATGGGGCATGCGCACACTTTGGTGTCCGGAAAAAACCCCACCCATTTGCCGCGCCATGCTGCTGCTTTGCCGCGGTGCAGGATTGTGGTGTGCTCGGCACCTCCCCCCCTACCATGGGACCTCCACGTCTGCTGGCGCAACCGCGTGTTATTTTGCCCTGAGGCAAACAGCCACGCTTCCCCCCCCCTCGCATTTTCTTGCCTGTGTGACCCAGGCCTCTGTTGGTCTTAAAGGTGCCACTAGACGCAAACTTTGTCCGATCAGAAGCGTCGTGAAGGAAAGCCCGGCTCCCTGCACGTATCCTCCATTTTGTTTTTCTGACCCAGCTTTTAGTTTGGAGAGACAGCAGGCTTAGGCTACAAGAGGCTCAGGTTCAAATCTCACTGAGCAACCTTGGGCCAACTTTTCTCTCTCACCCTACCCCACAGGGTTGTTGTGAGGACAGACGGCTGGGAGAAAGGGCAGGATCAAAACATAATAAACTGTGGTCAATTAAATGAGAACTGCAGAAGAATATTTCACTCTAACCAAGAACAGTACCAGAAACCAGTGGGAACATTTCTTTCTAAAAATTGCAGGGCCCAAGATATTAGAGCCACCTGGATCACCAAAACAATGTTTAATATGGTTTCAGTTCATTTTGAAAAAGATTGTGTTAGGTGGTATCGTGTGCTCTAAAGGTAGCCCAGGGGGGAAAGGAATCCACAGCCCCTGGATTCTGCTCTTGGCTAGAGCAAAATGTCTTTACATATAGGCCTTCTGTCACTCTAGTGTGGCCGAGATACTAAGCCAGGGTGCGGCTCTGGAGACAGAGACTGAACACACATGAACACATGAAGCTGCCTTCAACTGAATCAGACCCTTGGGCCATCAAAGTCAGTATTGATGTATCTGGAGGCCTGCGGGACCTTGTGCAGTTCCGCAGGGTCTGCAAGACGGAGCTCTTCCGCCAGGCTTATGAGTAGGAGCCGCCACAGCCACTTACACCACCACTCTTTATAAAGAGAGACCACCGGGGGGGGGGACCACATCTTTCCATCACCCCAGCCTGCCCCCCCCCTTACATAAGATGTTAGGAGCTATATATGCATCCGCAGAACTGATTTTAAGTTGTTTTGTTTTATTCTGTATTTTGTATCATGTAATTTGTATACTGAACGCACTTGGTGCCTTATGTGAACCGCCCTGAGCCCGCTCGCGGGGAAGGCGGGGTATAAATGTCATAAAATAAAATAAATATTGTCTACTCTGTCCGGCAGTGGATCTCCAGGGTCTCAGGCAGAGGTCTTTCACATCCCCTACTGCCTGGTCCTTTTAACTGGAGATGCCGGGGGATTCAACCTGGGACCTTCTGCATGCCAAGCAGAGGCTCTTCCACTGAGCCATGGCTTCATTCTCAGTGGTGGGAGGCAGGAAGCACAAAGCAGCCCTATCTCGTTAATGTGCCACAGTGCATTCCGGGTTGCCATTCACAGGGGAAAGGAAGCTGTGAGCTGGGAAACATGCAACAGAGGATAAAACCCGCTCCCGGGGGGGGGGAAAAAAGGCAAAAAGGAAAAAACCCCCCCCCCCCCCCCCCCGAGTGCTGGCAGAGATTGTGCCGGGGAAGTGTCCCCACCCCATCAAGGTTCTTGAGCAACACAGACCTCCACTGTGAACACACACACACACACCTCCTGCCTGTCTTCGAGGCGGGCTAAAGGGATGATGAGGCTGAAATCTGCAAGCCGGCTGCTTCAGCTTATTTATTTATTTAATTCAATTTATACCCCGCCCTCCCCGCGTATTCGTTGAACCTCTGCTTCTTTCTTGCAAGAACCAAACCCACAAGGCTCAGTTTCCACACCAGTTTCCTGTTCCTCCCACCGTCAATGACTTCCATTACAACTGGAGCCCTTTTTTAAACATTTTTTTGCATTAACTGCATACCAATGGTGTCCAAGAAATGAAAAAGACAAATCTTCAGCAACAAAAATGAGGCAGATCGAAAGTGGTGTGAGCAGGGCAACAAAGGTTGCCAGCTTTGGTTTGGGAGATACCTGGAGATGGCAGGGTTCGGGGAGGGGAGGGACTTCCATGGGGTCCAGTGCCATAGAAATCCTCCCTCCAAAGCCATTTTCTCCAGGGAAACTGATCTTGGTTGCCTGGAGATCAACTGTAACAGCATGAGATCACCAGGTGCCATCCAATCTCACATCCGTCATGAAAATAACGAAGAGTCAATAAAGATATAT